CTGGGAGACTAGAACAGAAAGTTGGGGGGGGAGAGGGGTGAGGGGGGAAATAAAATGGAGGTGAGGCGCAAGCAAAAAAACAAAACAAAAAAAACATCCATCCATCCAAAAAAGACACCAAGATGGAAGGCACTTTCTTGCAAAACCTTGAAGGCTTCTGCTCGAAAGCACAAAATATCTGGAAAAGCTGATGAGGACATCTGAACGTGATGCGGGGTGATTCAGAAGCACACTGAATGGTGGCCTCTGATTCACTCCAAATCAAGTTCAGCTGTGCTTCTCTCTCTCTCTGTTTTGATGAATTGAGTTGCCTGTCACAAAACGCGGAGTCAACTTGACTTTGGGATGTTATTGTCTGGCGAGGGCAAGCAAACTCACATGATCATTCCCAGGCTCGCTTCATTTCACGGCATCCATTATGCAGGAAGATAGACTGGATATCCAAGGGGTTCTTCCCTTGCCCCTCTGTGAACTATTTCCTGCACGCACGCACGCACGCTAAGGGTGACGGGGCACGGAAGACCGTAAGGGTCATTTCATGACGCCAAGAAAGAATTTGCAGAGTCATGAGAGTGATTCACTGCTGAAGGGTGGGTGACCTTTTCGCCCACACGGGATGGGCTGTGTGGGACCCGTGGCCTTGGAGGCACAAGACCCCCTCTGGATTGGATTTGGGGGGGGTGATTTATTTATGCTTCATTTCATAGCAGCTACGTGCTGTATTTTATGCTGCAATGTGTGTCTTGAGCTGCACTGGACCACTGCTGGAGTTGGTCAGCAAATGCAATTTTTAGCACATATAGAGTGCGGCCTTTGTCTTGTGTTCTGTATGGAAAAAACTTCATGTCGATTTGATTTGGAAAAAAAGTTTCTGCAGAGCATAAAGAATACTTTGCACAATTTATGGTCTGTCTGCTGGCACAGTGTGTAAACAAATTACTCGAAGGGTTTCTAGAAACTGCAACATCAATGCCAGTTTTGTCAGCAGCCTGTAGCGTGAACCAGCAGGCTTTCGCAAGTCAACGTTAATGTGCGTTGGGTAAGTACTCAACGTGTACTTCCCTTTGTTTTATATTTAGGGTTAAAGAAAACTTTGGTGGGGAGTGGAAAGCTTGAGGGAACTATCAAGCTTTAAGAAAATAAATATAAATATGTTTTCACTCTGGTAGTGTTGTGAAATGTGCTGCTACCAAAGATAGCGCCTCAAACTCAACTTTTTACTGTATTTGTAACTCGAGAACCCCCCCCCCCCCAAAAAAAAAGAAAGAAAAAAATAATCATCGAGTAGTTAGCAATTCTGCCTTGCAGTTCTCAGGCTCTGGGTTGGAATCTGTGTGGAGTGTGCATGTTGCTCCAAAGTTTTTGTGGCTACTCCGCTTTCCACATTCCAAAAATATGCATCTAATATTCTAAATTGTACACAGGTTCGAATGTTAGCGTGAATGGTTGTTCACTCCAAGTCAGCGAGGACAGGCTGCGGCTCACCCTCGAGGTAGATGAGGCCAAGCCCTTCAGAAAATGGATGGATGCAGACATTAGTTTGAATTTTATGTTAAAAACAAAAAACAAAAAAAAGGGGGGGATTTTATCCGCTGCTCTGCCAAAAACTGCCGAAAAGAATGCTGCTATTCATTTTGCAGGCTACCAAAAAAAAAACCCAGAATAAGCACAAAAGACTAAGTATTTTGATCGCTAAACTGTATTTGTGTGTCGACTTGTTTGATTTTGCTCCGTTCTCGAGGTAAATCCAACAATGTTTCGTCCGTAAACCACATAAACAAAGACAGAAAGTACCCGCCCCCTGTTGCAAAGGAAGCAGCGATGTGCAATCACGCGAGGAAACATGGCAGAAATCGTTCAAATCCAGCGTATTTGGGGTGAATCGTTTATATAACGTGGGGGGGGGGGGGGCTAGATATCAACAGCGGCGCTTGTATCGGCCGAGCATTTGTTACTGCAGTATTCGGTGTCCTCTGCACCGTGCAATATTTTACACACGGTAAGGGGGGTGGGGGGAAATAACATGGAAGCGTGTCATAATAAACCAAACATGTACGTCTTACCTTTGTCTTGACTCGCGCAAATGCTTTCCTCCTCTTTGGGATTTGCAACCTGTGTTATGATGGACGTGTTGTCCATGGAAAAGGCGAGATGCGGTGCGCCGTGAGGGGGGCGACACCGTGTTATTCCTCGGCGAACATGACTGTTGAAGCCAGTCGACTACACTTCCCAGGAGGCTTTGCGCTTCGGCCGCTGCATCATGATACCTTCACTTGTGTCGGAGACAAGGACGCCGTTGACTGGAACGTGAACGACATGGAGGGAAGAAACAAACAAAAAAACAAGAGTCGGTCACGAGTGCGCAACTGCCGTGCTTCTTCCACGCGCAATGCGATTGTGTTACCAGGTCGAAACCGAGGTAGCGCTATACGTGCTCCCGCCACCGTGTCAAAACACAACTCCCAGGAAACACCCACCCACTATTACAGGAAGGGAAACCTGCGGCTCGTGGGCCATTTATGCTCATCCTAATATAGAACCTCAGAGGAACTGTTAGAAAAAGCCAAAAAATACGAATACATACAACTATTACACTTATCCCCAGTGAGTTCACTGGGGATTTTTTTTCACTTGAAACAACAGGATTCGCAGCCGACTTTACAAACCAAACGAGGAATCCACGTAAATTAACCGCGGTGTTCCGATTTATGGATTCGGCATGAGCGGTAAACCGAGGACCTCCAGTCGTCGTGCCTCAACATGCAATCGTAGAGACATCTGGTGGACAAAACTCAAACAGCACCCAACTAATTTCCCGAAAAAATAGAAAAAAAGACGTCGAGTTACAGAAAAGAGTGCGAATTTATCTCTTTTTTTGTGGTGGTGGTGGTGGGGTCTTGTTTCCATTTTATTTCAGCAAAAGGGATTCAGATGATGGGTGGCTGTTCATTTGTGGCGAATCTGCGGACGGGTGGCTTAGCTTGATTTGCCCCCCCCCCGCCCCCGTTTCTGTGAGACGAAAGTGCGGGTGATGTATTGCAAAGACATTTACTTGACGTCGCAGCGATTTCATCATTCTCGTCTTCAAGGGTTCCTGGCTGTCCATGCTTGTTCTTCTCCGGGGGGCTGCTGCATCGGCACCGCTGAGGATCATCCCCGACATTCCCTCGCTCTGCTCGGTGCTGCGGGTCCGGTCTGTTCGGTTAGATCGCCTCCGGAACCGGCCCTTTTCCACGTCGGCTCGCCTTTCCAACAGGAACAAGAAAAAGAACCTGTGGCAGGAGCAGCAGCAGCGGCTGGAAGAAGGACGAACAACCATGGACGGCGACATGGAGCAAATCCTCGCCCCTTTGAGGCTCGCGGTCAAGGAACAGGTTCGTTTATGTGCAGGAAAGTCTTTCTGTGCCGACGCCACGTTCGGCTTCAATCAGCACAGCTCAGTCCAGTCAATGAATGGGGCTTCCAACTAGCTCGACGCTGACGCTGGCTAGTCGTCGCAGTGGCGTCTGCGCCCTTGTGCCACGTTTCAGCCGCGGCCGCAGCTGTGGCTTTTTAAACGGGGTGTGGTCCAATCAATCGGCAAGTTCATATTTGTTTAGATTTAAAAATAAAAAGCGCTGGTCTCAACTTTCATGGTTGGTTATTTTATTTATTGGGAGTGTAATACATTTTTTTCCAGCATCAAAACGTACTTTTTTTTTTTTTAATTCATGTGTATGATCATAAAGTGAGTTTCCGTTGCTCCGTTCAGTAAGTTGAAATCACCCCGTGCTGGCGTGGAACTCATTTCAAGTGCGTCATATCACTGAGTAAAGTATAGCTTCATCAAAAGAACCCCTCTTTTTCAAAGGCAGCAGAGTCCTAAAACCAGAAAGTGCCAGCCGTCATACAAGGTCCCACTAAAGCAAGGAAAATAGCTGGTGGTTTTTCGACACGAGGAGAGTGGGGTCAGTCGATCTATTTTGGCGGGGCTCTTCTTCCAGAGTTCCGGGGGGGCAGCGGGAGCAAAGGCGCCGTCTTGCAATTTGCCATCGCAAATGTTTCATTGGCTGAACATCGACGTTTTCCAAGCAGACGGAGGACAACAGCGGACAACTGCTCAGGATATTGACAATCGGCTCGTTCTCGAATTTGATGGCGGGGGACGCTGAAAGTTGGTGCCGTCGTCGGTCTGTGGGCCCTCCCCGCTTCACAGATATGCCCCTTGTCTGTTTTTCAGGGGGATCTCGTTCGCCAAATGAAGCAGGACGGCGCTCCCGACGTGGACGTGACCAAAGCGGTGGCCGAACTGAAAGCGAGGAAGCGGAATTTAGAGGCCAAGGTACAATAGTTGAGCCCTGCTGGCAATCTTGCCCAGGATTCACTGATCAAATTGCCCGCAGGAGCTGGCGTTGCAACCCAAAGATGACATTGTGGACAGGACCAAGATGGAGGACACCCTGAAGAGGCGTTTCTTCTACGACCAGGCCTTCGCCATCTACGGCGGTACGACAAAGCTCGCTCGATGCGCGTCGACAGACGCGGTTGACTGCGTCTTCATCCTCCTCAGGTGTGAGCGGCCTGTACGACTTTGGGCCGGTGGGCTGCGCCCTGAAGAACAACATCTTGCAGGCGTGGAGGCAGCACTTCATCCAGGAGGAGCAGATCCTGGAGATCGACTGCACCATGCTCACCCCCGAGCCCGTCCTCAAGTGAGCCAAAAACGACACGTGTGTGTGTGTGTGTGTGTGTGTGTGTGTGTGGGTTTTTTTTTTTTTTTTTTTTGCTGCCTGGTGGTTCCTACAGTCAGCTCCCAAGTGCTGGACGGTGGGTTATTTTTGACAGGCGCACATGGACTCTGCAATTTCATGCGTGGGAGCTGTCATTATCGCAGACTTCCACAGCCCGGTTGTAGATACACTCTTTAAAAGTGATGGCGTATCGAATGTCACAGCACCTGGAGACGTGTTCACCATTTCTTTGTTTGTGTCAACAGGACATCGGGACATGTTGACAAGTTTGCTGACTACATGGTGAAAGATGTCAAGAATGGCGAGTGCTTCAGGGCAGACCATCGCCTCAAGGGTACCTCGACTTATGTTTTTTTTTAAAGATACAAGGTCACTGAGCATTTTTTTTTTTTTTTTAAACGCCACGTTATGCAATTGTACTTAATTGGCCCTAAATGAAAGTCTGCTAGCTCAATGTTGTCGTGCAGCGCAAGACTCTGTCGACAGGCTAACGAGATGAGCGTATTCTCTCTCCTCTGTGAAAAATGACTGCTATTACTGCAGCTTACTGTGTCACTCCCTTGTGACCGCGGCTCAAAAAAAAAAAAAAAACACATTTGGGGATTTTTGATTGCCGATTGCAAAGGGAAAGATGCACAGACTGCGATGAAACCTCCTTCAACCCTAAATGCCGATGTAAAAACGGCGCGTGCTTGCTTACTGTGTCGGCAGAATTGGATTCACTGATCATTTTCTTCTGCAGCGCATCTGCAGAAGATGATGGCCGACAAGAAGTGTACTGCAGAGAAGAAGGCTGAGATGGAGGACGTCATCACGCAGGTGACTGAAGGGGGGGGGGGGGGGGGAAGGGGATCTACTTTGGACACGCTGATTAAGGTTGTATTCGACAGATGGACAACTACACGCAGCAAGAGTTGAGCGACCTTTTCGTCACGTACAGCGTCAAGTCTCCCACCACGGGAAATGACCTCACGGCGCCCATCGCCTTCAACCTCATGTTCCAGACCTCCATCGGACCAGGGGGGAACATGCCAGGGTGAGGAAGGAAGGGAAGGGAAAAGCCCACGATGCTCAGTGTAAATGTGGTCTGATGACGCTGGTCTCCACGCGCAGCTATCTGAGGCCTGAAACGGCTCAGGGAATCTTCCTCAACTTCAAGCGACTGCTGGAGTTCAACCAGGGAAAGCTCCCCTTTGCTGCCGCTCAGATCGGAAACTCCTTCAGGAATGAGATCTCGCCTCGCTCCGGACTCATCCGTGTCAGGTGGGGGCGGGGTGGGGAGGGTATTGCCGCTTCGTTTTTACGAAACCTTTCCAAAGGTTCTTTGGTCCCTCCCTTCAAGTTACAGGTCGGACTTATTTTGGAAAAAACGGAAATGGGATCTGTTGCATTTGCAGGGCTGTGTACATGAAAGGGTATCAAAGATGAGGTTAGATCTGGTACTGATTGAAAGGAACTATTTTTTTTTTTCCTCTCCCCTTTCTCGGAACGGGTAAACGTACCTTGGATCAGATGGTACACGTCTTCACGTTTGTGCCTTCCCCGACAGAGAGTTCACCATGGCCGAGATCGAGCACTTTGTGGACCCCGGCGAGAAGGTGCACCCCAAGTTCTCCAACGTGGCCGACCTGGACATCCTGCTGTACTCCTCCGGGGCTCAGACCAGCGGCCAGTCGGCGCACGCCATGAGGCTCGGGGATGCCGTGGAGCAGGTGGGGGAGCCCTTGACTACGGCGGACGGGTCGTCTGTCGTTTGTCCCGCGACCGCCACCGTCCTCTAGAGTGGGAGAAGAGAATCGGCAGCTGTCTCCTGGCATACACTGTCAATATTTGTCCATCAAAAATGTGCGAGAGTGCCAAAAGCGCAGATTTCTTGGGAGTATTGATGAAGGACTTAATCGTTTTCGGGTGGAATTTTGTCCGGTGGTCGTAGCGAATGCGTCAAAGGCTGTGAGTCAGCGTTTGGTCCGCGAACGACTTCAATTGAAGCGGCTCAACAAAACGGAATCGTGGCATCGAAGCACCGAGGAAGTGCAAGACTTGGCCGTTCGGCACGGCCGCTCAGCAGGAAATGGCACCGAATTTGCGCCTTCTTGTCTCGCAGGGGGTGATCAATAATTCGGTTCTGGGCTATTTCATCGGAAGGATCTACCTCTATCTCACCAAAGTGGGAATAGCCAAAGACAAGCTCCGCTTCCGCCAGCACATGGACAACGAGATGGCCCACTACGCCTGCGACTGCTGGGACGCCGAAACCAAAACCTCCTACGTAGGTCTCCGCTCGCGCGCGCTCTCCCGTCATCACGCCGGCGCTGATCGTAGCCTTTGCGGCTCGCAGGGTTGGATCGAGATCGTGGGCTGCGCCGACCGCTCCTGCTTCGACCTGAAGTGCCACGCCCAAGCCACCAAGGTGCCCCTGGTGGCCGAGAAGCCGCTGAAAGAACCCATATCCTTCCGCGACGCCTGCCTCCTCGCCCGCCACCCCTCTCGGCAAAGGCTCCTTCCTTAACGTGGCCGCACAAAGTGGTGAACGTGGTCCACTTGGAGCCCAACAAAGGCGCCATCGGCAAGGCCTACAAGAAGGACGCCAAGATCATCATCGAGTACCTGGCGGCGTGCGACGAATGCCGCGTGGCCGAGAAGGAGCGGCTCCTCGACCGCAGCGGGTGAGTGGGCGAAGCGCGGCGACCCCGGCGCCTCCGGGGTCACTGAGCGCCGAGAGTCCCTTTTCAACCCCGCAGAGAGTTTGCCGTCGAGCTGGAGGGAAAGACTTTCAAACTGACCAAAGACATGGTGGCCGTCAAGCGATTCCAGAAGACGCTACACGGTGAGATCGGAGCCTGCCGGGGTGGGAGCCGCGCAAGGGGGCGCGCGCGCCTCACCCGTCTCCTTTTCCGCAGTGGAGGAAGTGGTGCCCAACGTCATTGAGCCGTCATTTGGGATCGGCAGGATCATGTACAGCATCTTTGAGCACACCTTCCGCGTCAGGGAGGGCGACGAGCAAAGGACGGTGAGTACGGCCAAAACCCGCCCTAGGCCGGACACTACAAAATAGACCCATGACAAAGCGTAGCCTGGTAGCGTGACGGGAACATCAAACATTTTCCGTTCCTTTCGCCTCTTACATGATTGGTCAATGACAAAATATGCATGGATGGAATGAGTCAACTTAAAAAAAAAAGTGGCGGCTGTATCTAACACCTTTGTATTACTTTTGGGTTAGGGTTCCTTACTAAAATGAAGAACGAATCGTTTAAAAAAAGAATTGAGCTTTTTCGTGGGCCATTTGAACTGAAACAAGCTCTCGTCTCTCTTGTGACCCTCCACCGCCAGTTCTTCAGTTTCCCAGCAACAGTTGCGCCATACAAGTGCTCTATTCTGCCTCTGAGTCAAAACCAGGAATTTGTGCCCTTCGTTAAAGAGCTCTGTAAGTATGACACTTGTAAATACAGTTTTCTATTTTTTTCCTTGACAGCCAACCATCCCTTAATCAAAAAATAGCGACTTTATGGCCATTAAAGCAGGCTTCCAAAAGTGGGCATGTGTACACACATTAACTTATAAAGTAATCGTTTCAGATTGGCATTAGGATGATTTATGATCGGCTGATACGAGGTATTATCGGCCAATGTTTTTTTTTGGTTTTTTAACATTTGTATTGTCATTTTAAACATTGCCCCCCAAAGTCATCGGTTGCTTTTTCACAATGTTTCTCTCTGTTGTGAAGTTAAATGCTAAATGACAGTTTTGTAAAACAGTCAAAGGTTTCACCCGTATTTCCTCTTTATCGATGCGTGAAGGGACCCAAACACTCGTTATTTTATTCATGATCTATCGATATATTTTGAATTAGCCAAATTTTCTTCTGCCAAATATTGGAATTGCTTGACATTGATTGGGCAGTTGGTCTTCAATTTCATTTCCCCCGGAAGCGTGTTGCATTGAACTTGCCTTGAAGCCGTCGATCCGCCGCCCCTGCTCACACCTCTCCTCTCGTCTCGTCTCCTCTCAGCCGAGGCCATGACTCGAAACGGCGTTTCCCACAAGGTGGACGACTCCGCAGGGTCCATCGGGAGGCGCTACGCCCGGACGGACGAAGTCGGCGTGGCGTTCGGCATCACCGTCGACTTTGACACCGTCAACAAGACGCCGCACACCGCCACCCTGAGGGACCGAGACTCTATGAGGCAGATCCGAGCCGAGGTCCGGTCCCGTCCTGTCCCGTCCCGTCCTCCGGACGAGTCCGTGTCTCTTACTAAGCGCGCTCTGCCTCTCCTCAGGTGAGCGAGCTGCCAGTGATCATTCGGGATTTGGCCAACGGGTCTCTGACCTGGGCGGAAGTGGAGAGCAAGTATCCCGCCTTTGAAGGACAGGAGACCAGCAAGAGGGACGCGGCCGAGGAGTGAAGTCCTCCTTTCTCTCTTCCGCCTGCAGGGGGTGGGGGGAATCAATCAATCAATCAATCAATACAGTTCATAGACTTTTGTTGCATTCGCATCATCAAAAGAACAGCACGATGATCACGTCCACAAGGAGGCGCTGCATTTCAACAATGTATGTTTTTCAAAAGGGAGAAACTGGCAGCGGAAGGAGGCGTACCACTTTTCAGATACTGAACGCTCTCAATAAAAACCGCCAGCACTTACTGGACACGGCATCCCACCTGCACCGTTCTCATTTGTTGTCGCAGTTGTTTATTCGGTTCTCTCGGGCAAAGACGGCACTTGAAGGCTGAAGTTCAAACCCACGACTGCAGATGTGTCAATCGCACGAGATGTGTGCACAAGAGCTACTCGACAAGAGCTTTTGGCCTTCGGTCGTGTCGTACGGCGATACAGAAACATACTCTGAAAACTTTGGTCCAAAATGACAAATTTGATGACGATTACGGTTTGAATTTAATCCGTGGAAATGTCTAATTCCTGCGGTGGAGTCCTGTTTTGAACACCCAATTTGTGCAAAGCGCTCGGGCGGGGCCCCGCGAGCAGGTCACCGGGGCACATTCTTCCAAACGGGCCGGTGCGTACGGAGCCCGGTTTGGCTGATGCAACTCCAAGCCTCGGTTTCAGAAAAGGGGGGGGGGGGCAAGCGAGACGGGGAGGGACAAGCCGGCAGCGAGGAGAAAACATCCATACGGCTGGGAGGTAGCAGGGGAGAGCGCAAACTGGCAAGCGGCTTGACTCGGCGCTCTGGGACGTGGCAACATGGAAGCAGCTTTGGCACCTTTGCGGGAGGCGGTGCGCCAGCAGGTGAGTTCCCAGCTCAGGCCGTGGCTCCTTGGACCTTTCAACCCAAAACGGGGCTTTCTGTGGACATATTGCATGGTGATTTTTTTCTTTTCTTTTTTTGACCCATTACGCCTTGAGGTAAGCCCAGGGGTGCGAGTCCTTGCATCGTCGTAGCGCTTTGCACAGATGGGCATGTCAACATAGTCGTTGCGCGGGAAATAATTGCGCTTTCAAAGCCGCAGCGCTTGCTTGCGGCCGCGTTGCGGAGGCTTGCGCGAAGCACATCCGAGTGGTCTCGTGAACGACGCGTGCTCTTGACATCGAGCCGCCTTGCCTCAACTTGCCCACCTTTGAGTCAGCGGACCCAAGTTCCAAAAGTGACGAGCTCCAAAGCTTCCCAAGTCAGCGGCTCCCATTCAGCCATTCACAGAAGCTTACGTTTTGAAAACGGGCACCGGGCCGGCGCACTACTCGCACGCCGTCCGCTGCGAGCCCCTTTCATTTGGGAGGGGAGGGGGGGCGGGGCATGGCATGTCTCCTTTTCCACCAGTGTCATTTCTAAGGTCGGGGTGTCAACCTTCAGGGCGACTTGGTGGCCCAGCTGAAGGCGCAAGGAGCTCCAGAGCTGGAGGCGAACCGGGCTGTCGCCGAGCTGAAAGCCCGCAAGAGAACTCTGGAACTGAAGGTACAACTTTGCGGCCGGCTCTCGCTTCGGCTCCCTCTCCGCCAACGCGGCCGTCCTCTCGCTACCCTCCGCCGGTGCGCTTGCAGGAGCTGTCCTTGCGCCCTCAAGAGGAGGTCGTTGACAGGCTCAAGCTGGACGACACGCTCAAGAGGAGGTTCTTCTACGATCAGTCTTTCGCCATCTATGGAGGTAGGCGCAAAGCATTTCAGAGCGAGCCCTCCCGACGGGCTTCTTGCCTTCTGGCTGAGAGCGGGCCACTTCCTGTTTCTTGGGGCTCAGTGTTCATCCGTGTTTTTCGAGGAATATTTGGCTTTTGATTGGCTGTCAATTCTAGGTGGAGATTTGCGAATTTGCCGGGGACGGGGCGGCCCGCGGGGCATCTTTACGCCATCTGAATTTTTGGGGCCGGCCATTTCGCCATTATGGCGTATCGGCCGATTTGATCAGATGTCAAGTCTAATCTATCCATACGGTGATGAATGATCGTGAAAACAGACATACCATTTTGGCGTCTTGTTTCAGGTGTGAGCGGCCTGTACGACTTTGGGCCGGTGGGCTGCGCCCTGAAGAACAACATCTTGCAGGCGTGGAGGCAGCACTTCATCCAGGAGGAGCAGATCCTGGAGATCGACTGCACCATGCTCACCCCCGAGCCCGTCCTCAAGTGAGCGCGGCGTCCCACCACCCCCTCCTTCCAAAACAAAAAAAAATCTTCCTGAATTCATTTTCTCAATCAGGACATCGGGCCATGTGGACAAGTTTGCTGATTACATGGTGAAGGACGCCAAGACGGGAGAATGCTTTCGTGCCGATCACCTCCTCAAAGGTGATGATGTCACCCCCCCCCATTTTACAACAAGCACCCGACGACAGGTTTTTGCCTGTCTGTCACACATCTGGATGACAGGTGGGGCTGCAATTGGCATTCCTCGGAGGTCTCGCTCGTCTTTCTGGTGCGCCGCCATCATTTGAAGCCCGTTTGACTTCTTTAGCCCGCCGCTTGATTTCACAAAGAACTTTTGTTCGTTCCAAGCAAACCGCTGCGCAATCTGTCAAATGGGGGCCTTTTGTTGTTCTGGCCTGACAATGACTCGGGAGTTATTTGGTTGAGCGACTGGCCGATCAAAGCTCACATTTTGAAAAATCCTGATCTCTTTTCAACTCGTCGTCATCAAAACAGTAACGTGGATCGAATCGGTCAAACGGAGGCGACTGTACCCGCTTGGATTGTTGGATGTCTCTTGCACCCGTCGGGCGTCGCGTTGGGGAATACGATGGAACTCGAACCTTCCATCTCCTCCGGCCGATTCAGAGAAGAATGTGATGTCATCGCCCTCCGGCATCCAAGCTCATCTTTCCTATTGAAAGAAAAAAAAAGAAAACAACACAAAGTCCATAATTCATGAACTATACGAGTTCTCTTTCAGGTATTTTCTTGTTTGAATGTTGAATGAAAACCCAACTTTTTAAAGTACCTGTCGAGAACATCCTCTACAAAACCCCCCCAAAAAGTGCCTTTTGCGTTCGCGGGCCAGTTGAACCGTCGCGTTCAGAAGCACGACGTAAATCGGACCTCGTCCTCCTCGGCAAATGCGACGGCCGCATTCTTTGAAGGCGCGTGAAGAGCGTGCGTCGAATTTGACCGGATGGCCGCTGTCCGCAGCCCACCTGAAGAAGGCGATGTCCGACGGGACGTGCTCCCCCGAGGAAGCGGCGGAGATGGAGGACGTGATCACTCAGGTGGGTTTGTGCGCGTCAGATGGCGAAGGCGACGGCGTGCCAATCCTGTCCCCGCCCCGCCCCGCCCTCTTGTGCGCCAGATGGACAACTACACCCGGCAGGAGTTGGGCCAACTCTTTGTCAAGTACAAGGTCAAGTCTCCCTCGTCGGGGAACGAGCTGACCCCTCCCATCTCCTTCAACCTCATGTTCCAGACCTCCATCGGGCCAGGAGGCAACACCCCCGGGTACGACCGCCGCTCTTATGACAGTCGGATAATACTAATACGACGGCGACTATAGATGCTATCGCTTCGGCTACAACCGCTCCAGAAATACAGTTGGGTTGAGTCGTCCGAATACCACCGCCGCCACTCTACGACAATTTGCGCTTGCTACTGTGCCGAGCAACGCGACTCCTACTTGGTAGCGATAGCTCTCACGGCGGTTACTTTGAGTCCCCAAATAGGATGAATCCCGGCTCGGCGGCGGCTGACTGTCGATACTCTGCAAATGTGTGGGCAGCTATCTGAGGCCAGAAACGGCTCAGGGCATGTTCCTCAACTTCAAGCGACTGCTAGAGTTCAACCAGGGAAAACTGCCCTTTGGCGCCGCCCAGATCGGCAACTCCTTCCGAAACGAGATCTCGCCTCGCTCCGGCCTCATCCGCGTCAGGTGCGAAGACGGCGCGCGCTCCCTTTCGCCTTCAGTTGGGCTTTGTGGGCGTTAAACTTGTCCAAACATTACAGAGAGTTCACCATGGCCGAGATCGAGCACTTTGTGGACCCCGGCGAGAAGGTGCACCCCAAGTTCTCCAACGTGGCCGACCTGGACATCCTGCTGTACTCCTCCGGGGCTCAGACCAGCGGCCAGTCGGCGCACGCCATGAGGCTCGGGGATGCCGTGGAGCAGGTGGGGAACGTCAAACTCTCGGTTTTTACCGACCCCGATGGCCTCGCTTGTGGCAAAGGAGAGTCATTGTCCAGGGGGACGCTTTTCAGCAATTTCTCGCTTTTTTTTTTTTTTCCCCAAGCCGGCGAGAAGAGCAGACACTCGCGCGCGAGCTCTCTGAAGTCGAGCGCCAGGCCCCGCCTCCGTTTTAGCTTTGCTAGCCTTCAAACGCAGCCTTCTCCCCACGCAGGGCATCATCGACAACTCCGTGCTGGGCTACTTCATCGGCAGGATCTACTTGTACCTGCTCAAAGTGGGTCTGCGCAAGGACAAAGTGCGCTTCCGCCAGCACATGGAGAACGAGATGGCCCACTACGCCTGCGACTGCTGGGACGCCGAGGCCAAAACCTCCTACGTGAGTCGCCGTCGCCGCCCCGCCCGCTTCCGACCCCGCCGGCCGCTCTTTCAGCACGCCACGTCCTCCTTCAGGGTTGGATCGAGATCGTGGGCTGCGCCGACCGCTCCTGTTACGACCTCTCGTGTCACTCCCGTGCCACCAAGGTGCCCCTGGTGGCCGAGAAGCCGCTCAAAGAACCCATATCCTGGGAACTCGGCCTTTCGGCGAGTCGTAACCCGATGCGGGCAAAACTCCTTTGCACATCTTCCAAGACTTGGTGCTCGATACCGCACCGGCGTGGAAAGGGGAGTTCGCAACATTGCCGGAAAGCTTCCGCCTGAATGTACCAACGCCTTCTTGCAATCTGCCGCGAGCAGATGCGGAACTTGACGTCGTCCTTCATATGTTTTCTGTCATCCGTGGTGGGTGCTGCCGTTTCGGTTAGCGACAGAATTCAGACGCAGCGGCGAATCGCGTCCCTCGGACGTTGTAAAGAGAGAGAGAAAAACTGATGCGATGCGTGTAGTTGCTCATTTGGAATTGGGCGCCCGCAGCCTCAGAGGGAGCGCGGCCTTCGGTGAAACGACCGTCTTCCCTCGGCAGCGCGCTGTGCTTTTTCCTTGACTCATCCACACAAGGTAGTCAACGTCGTGAAGTTCGAGCCCAACAGGGGCGCCATCGGAGCGGCGTACAAAAAAGACGCCAAGCTGATCTTCGACTACCTGGACGCGTGCGACGAATGC